GGAATGTTAAAAACATATCGACAGAATTTTGTCACAACGATCGTCACAACAAAAAAGAAACACGCCGTGAACAGAGCCACAACACAAAACAAAAGGTCAGAAAGGTCCCAAAAATAACGGCCAGGATTAAGGAAGATATCGTCTCGTCGCTGGAAAAACTTTTCGCTACCAATAGAATAACTTTTTCTAATGAGGGAGTTTATGAACTACATCTGTTGCCCAACTCTTCTGCAAATGGAGCAGTATGCCTCGACGGTTCCCCTCCTGGATTTTATTTGCGCAATGGAACCAGCTTGGAAAAATCTAAGTGGATTATATTTTTTCAGGGGGGTGCATGGTGCTACGACGAGGATTCTTGCTATCAACGCAGCTACACGGCGCTTGGTTCGTCCACATGTTTGCGTGGGTATCTTCCGGCTGAGGAAAATGGAGGTTTGCTTTCAAGCCAAGTCAAATACAACCCTGAATTTTACAACTGGAGTTCAGTGTTTGTCCCGTACTGTGATGGAGCGTCTTTCACTGGGGATCGCGAGAAGCCGTTAGAGTTCAACGATAAGCCTCTTTATTTCCGAGGCCGACGAATACTTGATGCTCTCTTAGACGAGTTGCTCCGAAGAGGTATCGACAAAGCTTCCGAGATCATATTGAGCGGTTCATCAGCTGGTGCTCTTACCGCAATGGTACATTCCGATTATATCCGAACGCGGGTTCGTCGCGCATCAAACGCTTCTGTCCGTGTGCTTGCAGATGCGGGGTTTTTCTTAGACGAGCCGTCATTTGATGGCAGTGAAACAATGCGGTATATTTTTCAACAGACGTACACTTTGCACAACTCATCTGCGGGGCTAAATCACAAATGCTTACACGCGCAAAAGCGAAAAAGAAAATATCGGTGCTTTTTTCCACAGTACTCTCTCCCCTTCGTTGCCACGCCAGTCTTTCTAGTAAACTCGTTATACGATTCTTGGCAAATAGGCAGCTTATCTAATATTTCCTGTATCTGCGATTTTGATACTTGCAGTTCTGCAGAGAAGTCTTTCATAGAGAAGTTTCGTAAGAAAACCTTGCGCGCTTTGCGTTCGGTATTTGACTTGAAGGAAATAGCAGTCTTTGCAGACGCTTGCCTTGTTCACAGCCAGTGCCCTATTAACGACTTCTGGACGAAGGTTCAAGTGGGTAACGCCACGATTGCTCAAGCGTTTGTTGACTGGTACCGTGGACAGGTCGAGGACAGATTTAAAATTGATGACCCCTATCCCTCTAACCTTACATGTTAGAAGATCGCNGCATGCTGTTTTGCTAAGGATTAATTACATTTGGCTTAGTGAAAAAGGGAAGAGCTTTTCCAAATATCCATCAGTGAGAATCTTCCCAATTTCTGTCATTCAGTTTTTTTTTTTTTCCTTTCAGGACAACTTTCAAGGCACTCACTGAAGACAAGATTCTAATCGCCCATATTCTTTCCAAGTAAATCAACTAACTTAAAATTCTCGAATCATGCTTAATGCCGTAAAACTTCTAATTTGAACATTTGGGCTTAAGTGTTGAAGATATGCCAGCCGTGAAGAATCAACTTTGAGGCTGAAAAGGCTGGTTTTGCTGGATCAGCATAAATTCCCCTTACTGTTTTAGTACAGGAGAATTAAGTGTACAAGGAGAATTAAGTGTTTGGTCAAGACATTTTTCCTTAAATAATGAAGTCCTATATCACCATATACAGTGGCCAACCTTAGTTGTACTTTTTCAAGAAAACTCTATGTGAAATGAAGATTCGATCAGTTTTAGATTCACAAGAAGTTTTCACTGTTTTGTCTTACAGAGCGTGGAATCAAACGATTTATGTCGACTTGTTTGACACCGATGGTGAAGAAATTCACATCAATAAAGTTATGATTGAGAAGGGATTCGCCAAAGAAACCAACCACACCGTGGACAACCCCTGGAACATCGAGGCTACTGTAAAATTGGACCCTCATAAGATAGTTGGACTTCCGGGATAAAACCCGAGAATTGGTCTTTGTTGTTGCGTTGCGATGTTTTGTCGGTGTAGGAAAGCGTTGAACATCGCTAGGTCTGAATTTTATTGCGTGACGAAAGCGAGAGAGCATCGAGTCACGTAACACCCTTTTAGGTTGGCGTGTGGTGCGTTGTGGGTAACAAACCCCAGAGAAGTGGTCGTTATTACGTCCAATGCACACGTTGTCATAAAACAAAAATGGCTGCGCCTTCTACTGATGTCCCTTCGTGCGCCAGTGGATAAAAAGGACGTTAAATTTTGCCAGGACTTCTTTACACGGTAGCCATGTTGAATCTATTCAATCCCGAAGCCTGGAAACAACACAATTTGGAATCGTTTGAACAGTTTGTATTTGAAGGGAAAGAAGCTCGAAACTTTTTCTTTACTGTCTTTGGCTTGGACTGAAGATTACAAAAATAACTATCGACACTGTTAAGAGAAGCACCTTGCATATCTTACAATAAGATGAAGATACAGCCCCCTGAAAATCGCATTTTTAACATACATTTTCCTAAACGCTGGGTAATAGGTATCCGTAAAATGTTGCGTTGAATCTGTGCACCATTTTGACCTGTCAATGAGAGAAATCTCGCAAGCAGATCAATTTGATCTGTTTGTTTGCCCGCTTCCCAGATTTCGCTTAATGGTCGATCGAATACGGAGAAACTTTTCTATTCCTTGCACTCTGGTAAAAGTTCTTATTAGTTTTACTGATCAATATTTTGCGACTCGGCAAGAAGTAATCCTGACAATTAGNTTTTTTTTTTTTTTTTTTTTTCTGTCTCTCTCGTAGCAGTGGCTGTATCAGTGATAGTTACAATTCTCTTCAAGTTCAATGTCAAAATTAAAAAAAAAAAAACTGAGGTCTAATGTAGCCGAGGAATACTATTAAAACTGTTGTTGTTACCGTTGTTCTTGTTGTCACTCTTTTAAGTCAGCGGTAATCAAACGCTCATCAAACGATCGATCCTATTGGCTGTTAACTCGTGACGTCATTATTTTGTGTCACCCAGTCCAACTCAGTCACAGCATGGTTCACACGTTTTCCGGCATGCCTTCTAATGTCTAATCGCCGGAAATGATCAAAACCCTCTTCAAGGTACATTTTAGTCCCATATCCCATTTCAGTCGCGCCCATTGTAATTCAAGTCAGAGAAAACTCGCAGCTCAGTCTCTAACTTAGCGTTAAGCTCACAAATAGCAAACATACGTTACCACCGTTGTGTAGACTCGTTTAATAGATTCGCCACTTCGCAACTGAGAAGAGATCTGGGGTGAGTCTCATCTCGTAGTCCCTTGTTTGACAGTTACCACGCGTTACTGGGAACAAAATAAACTGGGCCTAAGGAAGGTAAACAAACTGTTTCCTTGGAAATATAGGTTGTTTACCATTTACCCCATACTTCGAGAAATTTCGGTCGGAATTTAAATGGTACGACAATTCTGGCTCGACCGACCGGAAAATTTTCGAAATACGAAAGGTAGTCAAAATTTCCAACCGAAACATCTGAGTGGAAAGTGTGCTTTCCATTTGAAATTCTTCACCGCCATCTTGGAATGATCAGGTCAGAGTCGTCCTAGTCTCTTTTGGTAAATTGGGGGAGAGGGGGGGNTCTGAAATGCTGTACACTATGATACCACATGTTCCTAATTTGTGCCTCTATTTGTGCCTCGATGAACGTGAAAAGTATCCTTTCTAAATTCGTTTAACATTTAACTCAATTTTTACCATAATCTCTAACTTTATAACAAATTTTATAATAACTCTCTTTAAACCTTAAAATAATTATACTTGCAACTGTTAACAAATGCACCGCAACCTAGAAAACGTACAACTTAGATGACGGGACAAGATATCTGAAATGCTGTACACTATGATACCACATGTTCCTAATTTGTGCCTCTATTTGTGCCTCGATGAACGTGAAAAGTATCCTTTCTAAATTCGTTTAACATTTAACTCAATTTTTACCATAATCTCTAACTTTATAACAAATTTTATAATAACTCTCTTTAAACCTTAAAATAATTATACTTGCAACTGTTAACAAATGCACCGCAACCTAGAAAACGTACAACTTAGATGACGGGACAAGATATCTGAAATGCTGTACACTATGATACCACATGTTCCTAATTTGTGCCTCTATTTGTGCCTCGATGAACGTGAAAAGTATCCTTTCTAAATTCGTTTAACATTTAACTCAATTTTTACCATAATCTCTAACTTTATAACAAATTTTATAATAACTCTCTTTAAACCTTAAAATAATTATACTTGCAACTGTTAACAAATGCACCGCAACCTAGAAAACGTACAACTTAGATGACGGGACAAGATATCTGAAATGCTGTACACTATGATACCACATGTTCCTAATTTGTGCCTCTATTTGTGCCTCGATGAACGTGAAAAGTATCCTTTCTAAATTCGTTTAACATTTAACTCAATTTTTACCATAATCTCTAACTTTATAACAAATTTTATAATAACTCTCTTTAAACCTTAAAATAATTATACTTGCAACTGTTAACAAATGCACCGCAACCTAGAAAACGTACAACTTAGATGACGGGACAAGATATCTGAAATGCTGTACACTATGATACCACATGTTCCTAATTTGTGCCTCTATTTGTGCCTCGATGAACGTGAAAAGTATCCTTTCTAAATTCGTTTAACATTTAACTCAATTTTTACCATAATCTCTAACTTTATAACAAATTTTATAATAACTCTCTTTAAACCTTAAAATAATTATACTTGCAACTGTTAACAAATGCACCGCAACCTAGAAAACGTACAACTTAGATGACGGGACAAGATATCTGAAATGCTGTACACTATGATACCACATGTTCCTAATTTGTGCCTCTATTTGTGCCTCGATGAACGTGAAAAGTATCCTTTCTAAATTCGTTTAACATTTAACTCAATTTTTACCATAATCTCTAACTTTATAACAAATTTTATAATAACTCTCTTTAAACCTTAAAATAATTATACTTGCAACTGTTAACAAATGCACCGCAACCTAGAAAACGTACAACTTAGATGACGGGACAAGATATCTGAAATGCTGTACACTATGATACCACATGTTCCTAATTTGTGCCTCTATTTGTGCCTCGATGAACGTGAAAAGTATCCTTTCTAAATTCGTTTAACATTTAACTCAATTTTTACCATAATCTCTAACTTTATAACAAATTTTATAATAACTCTCTTTAAACCTTAAAATAATTATACTTGCAACTGTTAACAAATGCACCGCAACCTAGAAAACGTACAACTTAGATGACGGGACAAGATATCTGAAATGCTGTACACTATGATACCACATGTTCCTAATTTGTGCCTCTATTTGTGCCTCGATGAACGTGAAAAGTATCCTTTCTAAATTCGTTTAACATTTAACTCAATTTTTACCATAATCTCTAACTTTATAACAAATTTTATAATAACTCTCTTTAAACCTTAAAATAATTATACTTGCAACTGTTAACAAATGCACCGCAACCTAGAAAACGTACAACTTAGATGACGGGACAAGATATCTGAAATGCTGTACACTATGATACCACATGTTCCTAATTTGTGCCTCTATTTGTGCCTCGATGAACGTGAAAAGTATCCTTTCTAAATTCGTTTAACATTTAACTCAATTTTTACCATAATCTCTAACTTTATAACAAATTTTATAATAACTCTCTTTAAACCTTAAAATAATTATACTTGCAACTGTTAACAAATGCACCGCAACCTAGAAAACGTACAACTTAGATGACGGGACAAGATATCTGAAATGCTGTACACTATGATACCACATGTTCCTAATTTGTGCCTCTATTTGTGCCTCGATGAACGTGAAAAGTATCCTTTCTAAATTCGTTTAACATTTAACTCAATTTTTACCATAATCTCTAACTTTATAACAAATTTTATAATAACTCTCTTTAAACCTTAAAATAATTATACTTGCAACTGTTAACAAATGCACCGCAACCTAGAAAACGTACAACTTAGATGACGGGACAAGATATCTGAAATGCTGTACACTATGATACCACATGTTCCTAATTTGTGCCTCTATTTGTGCCTCGATGAACGTGAAAAGTATCCTTTCTAAATTCGTTTAACATTTAACTCAATTTTTACCATAATCTCTAACTTTATAACAAATTTTATAATAACTCTCTTTAAACCTTAAAATAATTATACTTGCAACTGTTAACAAATGCACCGCAACCTAGAAAACGTACAACTTAGATGACGGGACAAGATATCTGAAATGCTGTACACTATGATACCACATGTTCCTAATTTGTGCCTCTATTTGTGCCTCGATGAACGTGAAAAGTATCCTTTCTAAATTCGTTTAACATTTAACTCAATTTTTACCATAATCTCTAACTTTATAACAAATTTTATAATAACTCTCTTTAAACCTTAAAATAATTATACTTGCAACTGTTAACAAATGCACCGCAACCTAGAAAACGTACAACTTAGATGACGGGACAAGATATCTGAAATGCTGTACACTATGATACCACATGTTCCTAATTTGTGCCTCTATTTGTGCCTCGATGAACGTGAAAAGTATCCTTTCTAAATTCGTTTAACATTTAACTCAATTTTTACCATAATCTCTAACTTTATAACAAATTTTATAATAACTCTCTTTAAACCTTAAAATAATTATACTTGCAACTGTTAACAAATGCACCGCAACCTAGAAAACGTACAACTTAGATGACGGGACAAGATATCTGAAATGCTGTACACTATGATACCACATGTTCCTAATTTGTGCCTCTATTTGTGCCTCGATGAACGTGAAAAGTATCCTTTCTAAATTCGTTTAACATTTAACTCAATTTTTACCATAATCTCTAACTTTATAACAAATTTTATAATAACTCTCTTTAAACCTTAAAATAATTATACTTGCAACTGTTAACAAATGCACCGCAACCTAGAAAACGTACAACTTAGATGACGGGACAAGATATCTGAAATGCTGTACACTATGATACCACATGTTCCTAATTTGTGCCTCTATTTGTGCCTCGATGAACGTGAAAAGTATCCTTTCTAAATTCGTTTAACATTTAACTCAATTTTTACCATAATCTCTAACTTTATAACAAATTTTATAATAACTCTCTTTAAACCTTAAAATAATTATACTTGCAACTGTTAACAAATGCACCGCAACCTAGAAAACGTACAACTTAGATGACGGGACAAGATATCTGAAATGCTGTACACTATGATACCACATGTTCCTAATTTGTGCCTCTATTTGTGCCTCGATGAACGTGAAAAGTATCCTTTCTAAATTCGTTTAACATTTAACTCAATTTTTACCATAATCTCTAACTTTATAACAAATTTTATAATAACTCTCTTTAAACCTTAAAATAATTATACTTGCAACTGTTAACAAATGCACCGCAACCTAGAAAACGTACAACTTAGATGACGGGACAAGATATCTGAAATGCTGTACACTATGATACCACATGTTCCTAATTTGTGCCTCTATTTGTGCCTCGATGAACGTGAAAAGTATCCTTTCTAAATTCGTTTAACATTTAACTCAATTTTTACCATAATCTCTAACTTTATAACAAATTTTATAATAACTCTCTTTAAACCTTAAAATAATTATACTTGCAACTGTTAACAAATGCACCGCAACCTAGAAAACGTACAACTTAGATGACGGGACAAGATATCTGAAATGCTGTACACTATGATACCACATGTTCCTAATTTGTGCCTCTATTTGTGCCTCGATGAACGTGAAAAGTATCCTTTCTAAATTCGTTTAACATTTAACTCAATTTTTACCATAATCTCTAACTTTATAACAAATTTTATAATAACTCTCTTTAAACCTTAAAATAATTATACTTGCAACTGTTAACAAATGCACCGCAACCTAGAAAACGTACAACTTAGATGACGGGACAAGATATCTGAAATGCTGTACACTATGATACCACATGTTCCTAATTTGTGCCTCTATTTGTGCCTCGATGAACGTGAAAAGTATCCTTTCTAAATTCGTTTAACATTTAACTCAATTTTTACCATAATCTCTAACTTTATAACAAATTTTATAATAACTCTCTTTAAACCTTAAAATAATTATACTTGCAACTGTTAACAAATGCACCGCAACCTAGAAAACGTACAACTTAGATGACGGGACAAGATATCTGAAATGCTGTACACTATGATACCACATGTTCCTAATTTGTGCCTCTATTTGTGCCTCGATGAACGTGAAAAGTATCCTTTCTAAATTCGTTTAACATTTAACTCAATTTTTACCATAATCTCTAACTTTATAACAAATTTTATAATAACTCTCTTTAAACCTTAAAATAATTATACTTGCAACTGTTAACAAATGCACCGCAACCTAGAAAACGTACAACTTAGATGACGGGACAAGATATCTGAAATGCTGTACACTATGATACCACATGTTCCTAATTTGTGCCTCTATTTGTGCCTCGATGAACGTGAAAAGTATCCTTTCTAAATTCGTTTAACATTTAACTCAATTTTTACCATAATCTCTAACTTTATAACAAATTTTATAATAACTCTCTTTAAACCTTAAAATAATTATACTTGCAACTGTTAACAAATGCACCGCAACCTAGAAAACGTACAACTTAGATGACGGGACAAGATATCTGAAATGCTGTACACTATGATACCACATGTTCCTAATTTGTGCCTCTATTTGTGCCTCGATGAACGTGAAAAGTATCCTTTCTAAATTCGTTTAACATTTAACTCAATTTTTACCATAATCTCTAACTTTATAACAAATTTTATAATAACTCTCTTTAAACCTTAAAATAATTATACTTGCAACTGTTAACAAATGCACCGCAACCTAGAAAACGTACAACTTAGATGACGGGACAAGATATCTGAAATGCTGTACACTATGATACCACATGTTCCTAATTTGTGCCTCTATTTGTGCCTCGATGAACGTGAAAAGTATCCTTTCTAAATTCGTTTAACATTTAACTCAATTTTTACCATAATCTCTAACTTTATAACAAATTTTATAATAACTCTCTTTAAACCTTAAAATAATTATACTTGCAACTGTTAACAAATGCACCGCAACCTAGAAAACGTACAACTTAGATGACGGGACAAGATATCTGAAATGCTGTACACTATGATACCACATGTTCCTAATTTGTGCCTCTATTTGTGCCTCGATGAACGTGAAAAGTATCCTTTCTAAATTCGTTTAACATTTAACTCAATTTTTACCATAATCTCTAACTTTATAACAAATTTTATAATAACTCTCTTTAAACCTTAAAATAATTATACTTGCAACTGTTAACAAATGCACCGCAACCTAGAAAACGTACAACTTAGATGACGGGACAAGATATCTGAAATGCTGTACACTATGATACCACATGTTCCTAATTTGTGCCTCTATTTGTGCCTCGATGAACGTGAAAAGTATCCTTTCTAAATTCGTTTAACATTTAACTCAATTTTTACCATAATCTCTAACTTTATAACAAATTTTATAATAACTCTCTTTAAACCTTAAAATAATTATACTTGCAACTGTTAACAAATGCACGGCAACCTAGAAAACGTACAACTTAGATGACGGGACAAGATATCTGAAATGCTGTACACTATGATACCACATGTTCCTAACATGAAGAAAACTCGCTGACCGAAGAATGGAAACCGTGGACTCGCAATTCAATTCGACAGCAAATGATACATGTTGTTTCAGCAACAAGGTTTATAGAAAGGGAGAAAAAGCAAAGTAAAAAACGCATAACATTAATTCTGACTAATCTGTGCACTCAATCTCATTCTAAACACTATCGATGGTTATTACTGTTTTCTTCAAACAGAAAAATCCGGCCGAGCATAAAATAATTCCTTTAGGTTATGCGTGGAAAAAACTGAAATTGAAGCTTTTATTAAAATCGCTGCATTATTAGTTATCGATGATTTAAACTTGGTTCAACTAACAGGGGCATTATTAAAGCAGCAAATAGCATTTTCTGTTTACCGTTCTTTGTCAATGTCTACAAGGAAATTTCCAGTCGTTGGTTTCATGAAATTATTGATAAATACTCTTCTCTCTCCTTCACATGTTCTGTCTTGTAGAAAAGGCACGCGGTTACCCACAAGCTGTAACCGCTGACTAAACAAACGGAGAGGAACTGAATCCTACGAAGGCCTGCCGCCTCCTTTAGAGGCCGACGTTACCAAGTTGCCGGCCGTCGGCGCAGAGGAAGAGCCTGGGACGGCCTGTATTGTTGAAGTCGGTAGACTTACTAAGGCATTTGTGCTTTTAGGTGCAATGCTCACAAACTTGATTGCGGGCGGTGTCATCGTACGTGATGCAACTTGTGGACTCGCGGCTGAGCTTGAAGTATTCACGGGAAGATTTACAGCCGCTTTCTGAGTCGAAATCGTGTTTGGTGTAGAAACTGCTGGCCTGACAGACTGATTGGCCGCTGGGATGCAACTACTCCTTCCGTAGAAGCTACTTGAGGATTTGTTGACTGTTGTTGACGGGCTTGAAGCACTACTATCTCCTTGGAGATTCCCCGCTACTCTCGGAACGGAAGTACTAGAATTTGGTTTTGACACAGGCGTAGTGACAGTCTGTTTTGGGACTGTAGCAGTAGCACTAGAGGCCTGGGTTCCACTTCCGGGTGCTTTTGAAGTCTGTGCCTGTTTACCGCTGGACGTGTTGTTTGTGGCTGCTTTGGCTTGCACAGCAAGCAGTTGATTGTAAGAGAGCGTCCCTGACATCAGCGAGGCACTGTTCCTCAGTTGCCTAGGATTGGAAAACAAATTGTTTGTAACCCGTATGCCGATAAAAAAAAAAAAAAAAAAAAATAGAAACAAAAGTCGGACCAAAGGGACAACAAGTTTTGCGGCATGAAATATGGATGATGCTCTCAGCTCCTTGGTTTCTCTTTGATTGGTCAAATACGCGCATGNAAAAAAAAAAAAAAAAAAAAAATCACTTAAATGTATTTGCTATTAAAACTAAAGTAAAGGAAAAGTTTGTAACGAGAGGAAGTAAGTTCCGATGCTAATCTTCGGCGAAGAATCAACAACTGGGAATACTGTTACACTTACTCCCCATGGATGTAAAAAGTCCCCNCACACACACACACACACACACACACTCCGAAACCAGGCAGTTTATCGGGTTGCCCCAGCAAGTCACTGGTACCAATTCATACACCTGGGTGCAAAGTCTTAAGTGGCACTCTGAGAGTCAAGTTTCTCGCCGAAGAACACAACACAGCGGCCACCTCAAGTCAAATGTGCTACTTAACAGAACAATCTGATAGAAAAACAAAGGTATCTCGATCAATGGACCTTTGCATAAATGCCGCCTAAATTTGAATAACAATAGGTTATAAATCCTTAGCCTCGTGCTGATGTTTCCAGGCAAAGGATTTTTCACATGAATGTGAGGCTTAGGATGTATCAGCGCCATTTGTGCAAAGGGTGTATTTGCAGAAAGCGTTTTATCATAATCTTTAACACCTACTTGATGACTGCACCCTTGCGTTTCAGCGGTCCTGTAGTTAGGTCATGGAAGGCCCAGCTCCACGCGGTCATCTCTTGCTTTCCAAACAATCCCTGCCAAAGAATGGCAAAATTGAATGATATCATAAAGTGGAACCCCGTTCATTTGACTACAATGAATGGGTCACCGAAAATGGATTCTTAGAAAAGAGAGTGAAAGAGACTGGCGGCAATCATACATCTTGAAGCACAAAGAGGCTATAGTGACGAGGGGAAAACCAGGATTTACTGTGCTTTATCCAAACATTGCCTTTTAACGCAGGGCACGAAATTAACTATTATTTCCAGGAAAATAAAATGAAATAATGGACTGACATAATAAATATCAGGAGCTTAAAGCTTCATGGCTAGCTGAACTGGTGTTCAAGTCACTAACGAAAAGCCTTCCAGTTCGGTTCCATTGCAAACTGGGAATGAAGAGACATCCAAACACATCAAAATAAGTTAGCCTGGCTCAGAGAGTTCTGACAACGTGAAACACCAATAAAATCAAAAAAACACGGTGTCCAAAAACTAAAAAATAAATGTTTCGTGACCGATACTACCATACATCTTATGTACTTGTTTGTTGTATCGTGTGTGCTGAAAACAAAATATGTTGACAGCAATGTTAAATTTTCTTCTTCTTTTTTTTTTTTTTTTNAAAGCAAAAGAAGTAAAAAGCGAGATATTAGGAGAAAAACCATTCGTTAAGATTAAAAACCACAAACGGCTCATACCAGGTGTCAGGTGGAAATATACACAAATCTGGTATTCGAGCTCTAACTGTGGCTTCTTTTTTTTTTTTTTTTATTTTTTTTTTTACGTAAATACCTTGATGTCCCGTAGCCAGCGCTCAAGATCAGTGCGTTGTTTCAATTGAACGGTCCTGTCACAAAACAACTATAAAAGAACATATCTAATTAAAGAATAAGTTGCAATAAAACACCACCTATGCTTTGGAAGGACCAAAAATATTAGTTTAATTTCACAATTTTTCTATTTAGCAAAGTCATTTCCACGATCCATCAGAGTGAGGCGGAAGTGGCGGCACAACTCCTGCCTTCTGCTACGGAATTTTCATGTACAGTAACTGTATAGCCACAATATTTCATCTTATATCTTATCCTTTTAAAAGTTTACCTTGGATGCGTTCTGCATTGCTCCTGACAGGATGCCAATTAAAGTCTGTGTTTTGATAGCAGCGATGGCTCTGACACAGGACAGCAGAGATTCGTGCATCTACAAAAACAACAATGATTAGCACCACTAATAAGAACAGATTTGAAAGAAGGGCCATGGGGACAGGAGAGTAAGGTCTCACCTTTTCAGGAAAAATAGAGGCTGGCAATACCGGAATATATTCCGGTATTTCACGCCCGTGCCACAGAGGATTAATATAAAGTATTCTTAAAAGCTGGATCATTGGATAATGCTGTCCAAGAGTATATATTCACTCGCAGGCTGTCTATCATCTCATATCTAACGGACGCTCCCAGTGGAATAATTGTTTATTATACATAAAACGTACATAATTGTAGTTGCATCGCCAGAGTGAGAAGGCTGTGTCGCACAGAGTTTTAGCCAGCCAATCAGAACAGGCATCTGCAAATTGACAAGCTTCGTTTTTATTTAGTTTAGACATGACAGCCTTCATCTGCAAAAAGAACAGAAATTAACTCAGAAGGAGGAATCATTGAACAATGTACATTTACTTTGAAAACCTTCCTTGACGCACTCGAGGAATTTCCAATTTTAATTAACCAATCAGAGAATAACACAAGAACTAACGAGTGCTCCGACATTTTTTTTTAATTAATTAATTTATTTATTTATTTATTTATTTATTTATTTATTTTTTTTATTTTTTTTTTATTTTTTAATTTTTTTTATTTTTATGCCAGCTTGGCGTGACAGCTTAGCGTGACAGCAGCGAGGATAACTGATGATGGCCAGGATGGAAATGGATTCGAATTTTGTGAACAACCTGAAACAGTTCCTCGGGAAGGACACGGAAAATTGAAAATGGGTCAAGATTTTCAATGCCTTCAAGCGGAACTTTGGATACCACTGCATGTATATCTTCCCCTTCTCTGAGTAGCTAACTCATCTCATATGTTAAGGTAACGAATACCTTTTCGCAGATACTGGGATGAGAGCCTGTGTAACCAGCTGCAGAGAGGGTGGCCCTGACTTCTTTAAACATGCCACATTTAGCGAACACTTCAATACAACAGCAGGTGTGAGACCTGTTAAATACAAAGATAACACATCGAAACCTCTATTAGTGAGTAAAAACGTTCTTACGGAGGTACAACAAATGGTAGACGGCAAACCGAAATGAACAGACGAGATCCTTTAATCTCTCTTATTGGTAGTATAGTTGGGGCTCAGCAAGGTTCATGTCAGTTTGTTTTTTCTCTGTAAGTCTGTTGGTCTGCTAGTCTGCCTGTTAGTTGGTCTGTCGATCTGTCAGTCTGCCTGTCAGTCGGTCTGCCATTTGGTCAGTTGGTCTGACTGTCGGTCTGTTGGTCTGTCAGTCTGCCATTCTGCCTGTTGGTCTATCTATCATTTTGCTTGTCAGTCCGTCTGTCAGTCTGCCAGTCGGTCTTTTGGTCTCTCAGACTGCCAGTCAGTCTGTCTGTCAGTCTGTCAGTCAGTCTGCCCGTTGTCCTATTGGTCCGTCAGTTTCCCAGTCAGTCCGTCTATCAGTTTGTTTGTGTGTTCGATTCGTCTATCTGTTTATATCTTTTTTTGTTTCCTTCATTGCTGCAACTTAGAACACGAGCGTACTTACGTTCGATGCTTCTTTAGGAAGTCTATCATTGATGATTTTAGTGATGGCCACTTGTCCCTAAAAGCAAGTCATCACAAGAAATCGATCACTACTGAACTTTTCGCCGCGTATGATCTTTACGCCAACAGCTCACTTTGATAAGAGTGACTCTCTGGAGCCAAGAGCATCTGCCAAAGCCCTTACGTTTCGGAGCATACAACAACCAACATTAACAAGAGTACAAACTGAAAATATATTGTGAACACAAAGCAAAGAATCCTTACGTTAAATTGTAAACCTTCTTGACATCCTTGAAATTGGCATAACTTGGATCGTTCTTGAAACACAAACTCATCAACTGCCCCTCAAAATCCTTCAGGCCATGTTTGGAGACTTCCTTACCAAACTAACCAGAAGACAGCACTGAATTAAATATTGAATACTTTAGATCAGATTAACAGGACTGCAAAACTTATTAATGACTGCCCAAAAATTAGCTTTACTAAGCTGCAAAGGTTACATGTTCAAGTTCAGCAAGGAGTATATGTATTGTGAATATTCCCTTGATGGGTAGGCTGTGTGCAGTCATCTACCCTTTTCTTTGCTTTACACAGAAAAATGACGTCTGCAAAGCGTCCTGTCTAATCGTGCTCCAGTATCCAACTGTTTCTCCAGAAGTTGAGGACTGCGCTGTCACTGGTTGCTAAGCAACAAACGTAAAAAGTCGACTCAGACTGGTGGCTATCAACATGAGATGCTTGACATAATTTATCCAATAAACTTTCAGCGAGTTTGTCGTTCACTTAACATGTTCAATTGTGTGTTGCGTTTTACGCCCACTGGAAGCAGAAGGATAGAAAATCTTCTTGAACGTCGGGGGAGAATTTAGAATTGTCAACAAACTTGCGAGAGAAATGAGCAAAGCAAAGAAAATTGTAAATTTTTGCATGCAAGCTACATGTACTGGATGGGATGCTAGTCCATCACATAGTTACATTGTACTTTCACCTTTCGATCAAGTTACCATGATAATCTAAAACTGGAAAGCTTTCATAATACTGGGTGGAGGTTCTGTGAGAGTAGTCCTTTACAGCTATCAGCAGAGCCCACTATAGCCATTACGCTGGCAAAAAATTAGAGTATTCACTTTCGTTTTTGGTCCGACGCTTTCACAGCCCAAAGTTTTGTCACGCACCTTATATTTTAGACTACGAGTAGTCCCTCTTTCGCTTAGTCCGTCGTGCGTGACGCGAAAGAAGACCGCGAGAAAAACAAATGGCCACGTGAAATCCTCGTCCCTAGGATTTCGCGCGACCATTTTTTTCTCGCGGTACGTTTTCTTTCGAGTCACGCACGACGGACTAAGCGAAAGAGCGACTATCCGTAGTCTACTTACATGTATGTACACTCATGACTGTAGGTACCTTGAACTATGCTTGGAAGAATAAACAGTACTTTTCAACAGATTTAATATTTCAAGCCCCGGCCAAACGATCGCAACATCTCAACACGACAAATCCCAACATTGTTGGTCCAGCATTTGCAAGCACCGGCCAAACGATCCCAACATTTGAACGCAACATATCCCAACATTGCTGTTGCGCGCGTTTGGCCACTCTGTTGCGACGTGTTGCCACATGTTAGGTATTGAAAATCGAACAAGTGCGCATGCCTGGGCGAGAAATTGTTGCACCTACCTGGCCAAACGACTACAACATCATGCAACATCGGCAAATGTTGCATGAAAAATTTGACCATTTTCAAATTTGAGCCAACACCCAACATGTCGCAACAGGGTGGCCAAACGAGCGCAACATGTTGCGCCCGATATGTTGTGTTTGGCCGGGGTTTTAAAGGGCATTAAGCTTGATCTATTATATGACTTGTGTCTGTAGTCGACATAACACGCATGCTGATTGGCTAATACTAGGGCATTATTCTCCAGTATTGCACACGGGCCGATCACAGGCCTGCAAAAACTAAACAAAAAGCCATATAATGCACTACTTATTAATCTTGAGCGTTCGGTCTTTACGGGAAAATCTCAAACCTCGGCCTTGCCGTATTGACCGAGCGATAGGTCTCAGTTTGAGATTTTCCCGCAAAGACCTCACTCTCAGTTACCACGAACTTACTAATGTACGTGTAGGCTTTAACTGACACTGAACACAGCAAAGTTTAATACAACAACAAAAATTTGTTAAATGCGGTAAGATAATACATCGGACTGACCACAACTAGCTAGCCTAAATACTGAGTGAGGAGGGGTTTAGCAAGTCATATCGAGGGGTAAAACTCCCCTGATCCAGACATTTACTCACATCTTTCTTTATCTTCTTGAGCACGGCACTCAGCCTATCCTTACCACCCCAGTTGCCAGCCTTGTTTAACAGCGCATCAGCAGCATCAAAAAGGTTCTTAACCAGCAACACTGCATCCTTGCGTAATGACAAGCCGTCTTGACCTTGAATTAAAATCCCAATTGCAGCAAAAGTTACACATGCAACAAATCAAATGTACTTAATGGTTTACATCCAGGATTACGTGAGTACCAATGTGGTAAAGGCTGGCAAAGTTATAAATTCTTTGGAATATTTACATGTACGTGAAATCTGTTGATCAACAGTGCTACATGTTCTTGCCTGAACAGCTCGGCGGTTTCTCAACGTTTTCAGAAAGAGGGTAACTGGTTTTCGCAGGTGGGCAAAACTATTAGAACTGAACTTCTGTGCAAGAAAAACTCTCCACTAGATGGTCAAATCCGGGCAAAATTGTCCTCAGCCAGTCAATTTGCCCAGTGCACAGCCCTTAAAAACACTCCTGAGTTGACAACTGTAATGAATTTGTTTTTGATAGTAGTTGGTCTATAGTGTTATTACCTAGGGCGAGGGATCAAAACTGACAACAACTAACCAATCACTGTTTACAAACTTCACACGAGTCTTACATGCACATGTAACTGCCAAGTACACCATAGTGACCAAACACTTGACACCAGTGAGGTTGTCAAAATGGTAGTCAAAAGCAAAATTCCTATTTAGGACTTCTCTTGTCAACTTTTTAAAGTCCACTGTACCTGACTTTCGCAGGCCTTCTTTGAGGATACAAAGCGCAATCTCATAATTCTTCTCAATGCCATTAATGTCTTTCAGCTTATTAACCCAGCTGCAAGGAAGAAAAATAGGCAGTTTATTAATTAAGTCTTTAAAGTCTTTAAAGAACATGTACCACTGCCTAAGAAAACTGTGTGTCACTTCCTGTTTGTTTTATCTGTGGGAGAGATACCAGACAAAAAAGCCAAGAAAGTTAGATACACCGTACTCATCCATTCATTCTTTTTTCATTCATGCATTTGTTTGCTCACTAACTCGTTCATTTGAGTGCTCATTAAATTTTGCCGGCTGACTACCACATTCATTAATTCATTCACTATTTCATTCCTACATGTAAAGTATGTTCAAATGTTCACTTGTTTGTTTGTCTTTGTTTTTTGTTTTTTGTTTTTTTTTTCATTTACGCACTCAATCACTCATCAAGTGATCATTTCATTTAGTTATTCCCATCCATCAATTTCATTCAGTCATTCTTTNCGGGCAAAATTGTCCTCAGCCAGTCAATTTGCCCAGTGCACAGCCCTTAAAAACACTCCTGAGTTGACAACTGTAATGAATTTGTTTTTGATAGTAGTTGGTCTATAGTGTTATTACCTAAGGTGAGGATCAAAACTAACAACAGCTAACCAATCACTGTTTACAAAGTTCACACGAGTCCTACATGCACATGTAACTGCCATGTACACCATAGTAACCAAACACTTGACACCAGTGAGGTTGTCAAAATGTCAGTCAAAAGCAAAATTCCTATTTAGGATTTCTCTCGTCAACTCTTTATAGTCCACTGTACCTGACTTTCGCTGGCCTTCTTTGAGGATACAAAGTGCAATCTCATAATTCTTCTCAATGCCATTAATGTCTTTCAGCTTATTAACCCAGCTGCGAGGGAGAAAAATAGGCAGTTTATTAATTAAGTCTTTAAAGTCTTTAAAAAACATGTACCACTGCCTAAGAAAACTGAGTGTGTCACTTCCCGTTTGTTTTATCTGTGGGAGAGATACCAGACAAAAAAGCCAAGAAATAAAGTTAGATACACTGTATGCATCCATTCATTCTTTTTTTCATTCATGCATTTGTTTGTTCATGCATTCATACATTTGTTTTTATTTATTTACACACTCAATCACTCATCGAGTGATTATTTCATTTAGTTATTCCCATCCATCAATTTCATTCAGTCATTCTTTCATTCCTTCTCGCAGAGGTGCACAGTATTGTAACTGCTTGTTGTTTTTTAGACTAGGGACCCTGTGGTACTTCAGTTCAGTTCATTAACAGCCTCTCATTAACAGACACACAATGTACAGTGCTTGTACACATTACTACACAGTACACAACAAACCTTGTGTAGACTTGAAATGGAATACATCTACTACCAAGTGATTTCATGATGTTGACGAGCACAAAATTTAGAATTTGACTGTTGATTTTGGTGCACATTACTGGAGAGAGTACCACTGACAAAGCTCCCCATAACAAACTCTGTGAATGAGCATAATCATAATTATAACATCAGTTAATTAGATGTATGTGTTGGCATGGGAAAATAAAGCAATATTTAATTAATGATACACTACACTACAGTTTATGAAATGCATGTGAACACTGTAACCCACACAAAAAATGACTTGTGCTGAGGTTGTCAACATGTCACTGAATAAGGACTTGTTTAGAAAGCCTCCACCCCGGCAATTATTTAAAGTAGACAAATCGGTGATGCTTGTAGTAATGGTAAAGTCTCTATACGAGTTAAGTAGCCCATCAGGCCAGAGCTTATCCCAGTTTCTATAGCATGAATTGACCAAGAGCATTTCTATATGTACTTCTCCAGGCAGGGATGCTAGTCTATCGCAGGGTTACCCTCACCATTATATTATTTGCCAGTACTCACTTATACCCTTGGGTAGAGAGAGGCATAGTGAGATTTAAATGTCTTGCCTAAAAACACAACACAATGTCCCTGGCCAGAACTCGGACCTTGACTGCCAGATCCGGAGTTGAGCACACTAACCATAATGCTACCATGCCTTCCAAGCTGATGCTCGTACTGGCATTTAAAACTCTTCACTCCAGTTTGAGTCTTGTCTTGCACTGATATCCAAGTTTGCCTCNTGCACATTACTGGAGAGAGTACCACTGACAAAGCTCCCCATAACAAACTCTGTGAATGAGCATAATCATAATTATAACATCAGTTAATTAGATGTATGTGTTGGCATGGGAAAATAAAGCGATATTCAATTAATGATACATTACACTGCAGTTTATAAAATGCATATGAACACTGTAACCCACACAAAAAATGACTTGTGCTGAGGTTGTCAACATGTCACTGAACAAGGACTTGTTTAGAAAACCTCCACCCCGGCAATTATTTAAAGTAGACAAATTGGTGATGTTTGTAGTAATGGTAAAGTCTCCATACGAGTTAAGTAGCACATCAGGCCGGAGCTTATCCCAGTTTCTATAGCATGAATTGACCAAGAGTATTTCTACATGTACTTCTCCAGGCAGAGAGGCTAGTCCATCGCAGGGTTACCCTCACCATTATATTATTCGCCAGTACTCACTTATACCCTCGGGTAGAGAGAGGCATAGTGAGAGTTAAGTGTCTTGCCCAAGAACACAACATAATATCCCTGGCCAGAGCTCGGACCTCGACTGCCAGATCCAGAGTTGAGCACACTAACCATGAGGCTACCATGTCTTCCAAGCTGATACTCGTACTGGCATTTAAAACTCTTCACTCCAGTTTGAGTCTTGTCTTGCACTGATATCCAAGTTTGCCTCAGATTGAAATCAAAGTCTCCACCCAATAAAGTAAATAAATAGGAAAATATATTATCTTCCATGGGTGGGATTGCACATGCAGTCCATCACAAGGTTATGGTTACATAACCCCAAATTAGACGCATCAGTACCCATTTATACACCTGGAGAGGGGTGCAGTGGCACCCTTCACAAGTACTAATATACAAATGTATTTTACAGTACATGTATATAATTATTTTATTTACACAACCTTTCTTTTGAAGATCTCCAATGTGTTTGAAATTGGGAAGTAAGGGTAACAGTTGTTGTTGACATAGAGATTGGCGACAAGGGCTGCAAATAATTCCACTACAAACACCTGTGAGAAAAATATTTTAACAGAAAACAATTTACACATACAGTGTAAAGTAAAACAAAAATAGTTATTTGGAGACTGCAGAATGATTCTTTTGAGCCATTGTTTACATTTGGCATCTCAAGGTGTTACTGTATGCGGTATGTGAGAGTAGAGAGACCATCACAGATGAACTCTTCCCTGTACCTCCACCATTCTGTCAAAATAACCTAACAGACCACTGATACTCATTCTTATTCCTCAAGCAGAGAGTAATGAAGTGATAGTCAAGTTTCTTCCCTTCTCTCAAGATTTTTGTTCCTTCAGAAGTGACTACCAACTAAAAATCCTGTGGTGTATTTACTTACCTTACCAGACTGAATAATTTTAACCAACAGTTTAAACAATGAAAGTGAAGAATGATCCTCGCAGTAAATTTTCCAATTTAAGCAATTGGAAAGAAGAAGCCTGAAAAAAAAATTCAGGGCTTCAACGGGATTCAAACCCATGACCTCTGCGATACCGGTGCGGTGCTCTACCAACTGAGCTATAAAGCCACACATTGGGAGCGAGGTTAATTGACCTCCCTCCCAATGTGTGGCTTTATAGCTCAGTTGGTAGAGCATCGCACCGGTATCGTGGAGGTCATGGGTTTGAATCCCGTTGAAGCCCTAAATTTTTTTCAGGCTTCTTCTTTCCAATTGCTTAAATTGGAAAGATTAATTTACTGCGATGATCATTCTTCACTTCCATCTACAACCACAGTTCATATATGAATTATTTCATATATACTCCACATCAGTTTAAACAATACAAAGACATGAAAGATGACATGAATGCCTTCACATCTTTCTCTGCAGCCAAGTTTACTTACAATAGTATTAATAATACATGTACATGTACCTTGAAGGGAACATCTTTGGGAGGTTTGATCTCACTTGTGGAAAGGAATTGTTGCTTTGCCTTCGTAACAAGTACCTCCGCCTCTTTTACCGCCCGCTGTGCAAAAAAGGAAATTTTACACAAGTTTCAGTTCGAAGATTAAAATATTAACCTTTTAAATGACGGTCAAATATTGTAAATTTAGCACAACTGCTGTATCTAACCACTTCTTCACTAAAATACTGGTTCATGTGGCTGAATTTTATTTAGGCTGAGTTAAACTCAAAAAGCTGCTGGCCAGCAGTGTCCCTCCTTGATGTGGAGTGGTCTGCGGGTTCTGCAGGGAGGCCCAGGAATTTACAGCTCTCTTGTGCGAGGTCAGACCATTTTTCTTGTGTTGCTTAACATTTACGTTGTCTCCAAAGGCTTTGCTCACAATCCATCCCTCCCTAAGTTAGGCATAGGCCAGGTTAGTACCCTGTACGCTCGGCTCATAGGATGTATCTCAACCAGCCTTACAGGCACCTTCCCCACACTCATCTACTGTTGATGAGTTCAAACTCTGATAATTATGTACATCCATTATACTGACCTTTCTCTTTTCATTTGGACAGTCATTAGACAGGGAAGTCACACAGAGTGTGTTTATGTACCACTCCATTGCTTGTTCCAAGCGGAGATTAGAATTGACCTGTGTTCCAGTCAGTATAAATGCCAAGGCTTTTTTACAAGTGTCTTCGGGTATATCTGAAGGTGAAGGAAGCTTTCCTGTCTCAGTAGAATTGTTGTCCGTTACAAAGACAGTGAGGAGCTCCTTAGCGCTTGAATAATCCATGTTTCCAAGAGTGCACTGTGAAAAAGGTACATTACCTCTGGAATCTGGAATAGATAACAGAGGTAGCAACCATTAAGCTGGGCTGAAAGTACAAAAGGAAGTACAAAACTACAGTTGACAGGTCTGAATGTCTGCAAGATGAAAAGTACAATTATTTATTTGTACATGTACTGTGTATGTAAGTGACTTTAATCTGTAAGTCTGCAAAGCTACAATAGACTATACTACTTATTCAAGTAACATTTTCTGGCCAGTCTGGAAGTCTAATGGTCTCAAAGTATCAGCTCTGTGCTGGTTCAATTTAGAAGTTTGCCAGTATGCATGTGTTTCAGTAAGACGGGAATCTACCAGGCTGCAAATCTAATAATAATTACATTTAGAATGGTAAAAGTTACTTTGCAGCTACTAAATAGGCCATTTTCATATTCTTGGTGTTGGACTGAAACTAGCTTGCAATGGAGGCTCATGTGGGGAAATAGCATTAAAGAGAGATAAATGTCATTTGCATTGCATCTGTAGTTCCAGTCCAATACAGAGAATATGAAAATGGTCAATTGCAAAATGAGCTGTGGTCAAAAACTGCACCACAACACAATTTACCTGTACACAGCAGTGTGAAAGGAAAGTCCTGTCTGATAGTTCAGGGTTAGATGATTTTCCACTGAGGCTATGGAATTCTGCCCTTCACTTGCCTAAGCAGGTTACATGTAAGTTTCTTGGGAAACTTTTTGAGGAATTCAAATAAATTATTTAAAGTACTGTAATGGACAAACATTTTGGGGCTAGTGAGAATGATTTTTAATTACGCCCAAAAATTTGTTTTCTTTGCATCCTGCATCCTGTACATGTACACGTAACTGACCTTTAAGAACTGTGTTTGTTATAACACTTTTAGTTATGTCTGTTGAGACTGGCAAAGTCAACACATTCAGAGCTTGGTTGATCTTTCCTGTTTTGGCCAGTAACAGTACAAATTTCCTCCTGTACTGGGTCATGTTTGTTAGCCGCTGGTCTGTAGCTGTTACAGATACACCATGATAATGATATGAAGAGTTCCTGTTCTTTTGGGTTACTTTGCAACTTAACAAGTAAGATAAAGCATCTGAGAATCTGGGAGAGAGAAAGAATTTGAAGCAGAATTACTGGTGGTCTTCTGACAAACAGAAATTGATAGAAGAACAACATATGTATAATTATGTAGGTGTCTGAAATAATTACACACGTTTCTGAAGACATACAGCCAAACGCATCAATTACATGTAAAAAGCAGGCAGATGATAAGGGCAGTCAGCAGACATAGTGACAGACCAACTAATAGAATGACAAGGAGGCAGGTAGATAGAGAAGACAGAGAGAAAGACAGACAGACGAGAAGACAGGCAGACGAGAAGACAGGCAGACAGACAGACAGGTACAGGACAGGTACAGGACAGGTACAGGACAGGCAGGCAGACAGGCAAACAGATAGAAAGAAAGACATCACCTGATAGGAAGAACTGACAAAAAACAAAAATCACATTACATGTACTTCATGTACCTTTTATTCTTTTCCAAGAAAGCCAGTCGAGCTTCAGCCACATCATCATCCTCTTTGATGAAATCATTTCCTAATTTACCCGCAAAACACTTGACAAGTAATTCATCAGTCCACTTCTTCATTTCAAGAATCCTAAACCAGGGCCATAGAACAAAAAGCACATTGGACAAAGTGTCCACTGAATATTACTGCATAATTTGTAACTATCATTCACTGTTGAAGCCCCATAGTAGGGTTCAAAGAAAACTTCCTGCAGACAAGCAGCTCTCAAATTTTGCTTGGCCTGGACAAGTCTCAGTTTACTTATTTTCTATTTACATGTGCATGTGCACGTAGGTTGGTTGATCATCAGTTGTCCACCAGGAAAATATATTTGCCCCTGATGACTGGATGGCAATTTTTTCACCTTTTTCTCTGCCTTGCACTTGCCTCATTGCAATAATAGGGACCTTACGCAAAACACGACAGCAACGGCAACGAGAATGTCACCAAACAAAAGGTTTAATAGCAGAACAATGGCTATGCACATGCACTATAATTCTTGGTACATTTCTTTGCTGTCCTCTGTAACACAGCAACGTGAAATGACCATATTCTGCGTTGTCTGGAGAACGTGAACCACAACAGCTAATTTTCCATCTTTCTATTTGGAACTGAACGCATTCATAGCATATTCAGCTGGGGCAAGTTTTAATACCGACAGACACACTGGGCAGTTCCAAATAAATGCGAAATTCCAAGGTAAAATAGAACCACATTTTTTATGTTGTCCTCGCCGTCGCCGTCACATATGCCTAAGGTCCCTAATATTCTTACAAACCTACACTATCCAATGCTGATCTCAAGACTTAGAGACCCCC